TTATCATGGATTTTGAAGGCTACAGATCAAGGATTCGGTCTAAGGCTATTCTTCAACGAGGATGAAGTCCATTAAGCACCGATTCGGGCGAATATCTTCCGGGTCAATTTTTGGCAAATCCCAAAGGGGTACCATCACCGATTTCGGGCGATTTTTCAGAAATGCCATTTTCTTTAGATTTTGGAGGCTACAGATCACGGATTCAACCTGAGGCTATTCTCCACATATAATGAAGTCTATCGATCCTATTCTACGCCAATGATTAACCCCACTAAGCATATATTTGTGCGAATTTATTTTGGGATGGCATTTTCGTAATATTTTAGATAATTTTTTTCGAAAGGCCATTAACCATGGATTTTGAAGGCTACAGATCACGGATTCGGTCTGAGGCTATTCTTCAACGATGATTAAGTCCATTAAGCACCGATTCGGGCGGATATCTTCCGGGTCAATTTTGGCAGATCCCATAGGGGTACAATCACCGATTTCGGGCTATTTTTCCGAAATGCCATTTTATTTCGAATTTTGATGCAACAGATCACGGATTCAACCCGAGGCTATTCTCCACATATAATGAAGTCTATTGATCCTATTCTCCGCTAATGATTAAGCCCCTTATCAATCGATTTGGGCGAATTTTATTTGGGATCGCATTTTCGTAATATTTTAGACGATGCTTTTCAAAGGCCATTTACCATGGATTTTAAAGGCTACAGATCACGGATTCGGTCTGAGGCTATTCTTCAACGATGATGAAGTCCATTAAGCACCGATTCGGGCGAATATCTTCCGGATCAAATTTTGGCATATCCCAAAGGGGTAGCATCATCGATTTCGGGCGATTTTTCCGAAATGACATATTCTTTCGATTTTTGAGGCTACAGATCACGGATTCAACCCGAGGCTATTCTCCACATATAATGAAGTCTATTGATCCTATTCTCCGTCAATGATTAAGCCGATTAAGCATCGATTTGGGCGAATTTATTTTGTGATGGTATTTTCGTAATATTTTAGACGATTTTTTTCGAAAGGCCATTTACACTGGATTTTGAAGGCTACAGATCAAGGATTCGGTCAGAAACTATTCTTCAACGATGATTAAGTCCATTAAGCAATGATTCGGGCGGATATCTTCCGGGTCAATTTTTGACAGATCCCAAAGGGGTACCATCACCATTTCGGGCGATTTTTCCGAAATGTCATTTTCTTTCGATTTTTTAGGCTACAGATCACGGATTCAACCCAAGGCTATTCTCCACATATAATGAAGTCTATTGATCCTATTCTCCGCCAATGATTAAGCCCATTATCCATCGATTTGGGCGAATTTTATTTGGGATGGCTTTTTCGTAATATTTTAGACGATACTTTTCGAAAGGCCATTTACCATGGATTTTGAAGGTTACAGATCACGGATTCTGTCTGAGGCTATTTTTCAAAGATGATTAAGTCCATTAAGCAACGATTCGGCCGGATATCTTCCGGGTCAATTTTTGGCAGATCCCAAAGGGGTACCATCACCGATTTCGGACAATTTTTTCGAAATGCCATTTTCTTTCGATTTTTGTGGCTACAAATGACCGATTCAAACCGAGGCTATTCTCCACATATAATGAAGTCTATTGATCCTATTCTCCGCCAATGATTAAGTCCATTATCCATCGATTTGTGCGAATTTTATTTGGGATGGCATTTTCGTAATATTTTAGACGATCCTTTTCGAAAGGCCATTTACCATGGATTTTGAAGGCTACAGATCACGGATTCTGTCTGAGGCTATTCTTCAAGGATGATTAAGTCCATTAAGCACCGATTCGGCCGGATATCTTCCGGGTCAATTTTTGGCAGATCCCAAAGGGGTACCATCACCGATTTCGGGCGATTTTTCCAAAATGCCGTTTTCTTTCGATTTTTGAGGCTACAGATGACGGATTCAAACCGAGGCTATTCTCCACATATAATGAAGTCTATTGATCCTATTCTCCGCCAATGATTAAGCCCATTATCCATCGATTTGGGCGAATTTATTTCGGGATGGCATTTTCGTAATATTTTAGAAGATTCTTTTCGAAAGGCCATTTACCGTGGATTTTGAAGGATACAGATCACGGATTCAGTTTGAGGCTAATATTCAAAGATGATTAAGTCCATTAAGCACCGATTCGGGCGGATATCTTCCAGGTCAATTTTTGGCAGATCCAAAGGGGTACCATCACCGATTTCGGTCGATTTTTCCGAAATGCCATTTTCTTTCGATTTTGGAGGCTACAGATAACGGATTCAAACCAAGGCTATTCTCCAGAAATAATGAAGTCTATTGATCATATTCTCCGCCAATGATTAAGCCCATTAAGCATCGATTTGGGCGAATTTATTTTGGGATGGCATTTTCGTAATGTTTTAGACGATTCTTTTCGAAAGGCCATTTACCATGGATTTTGAAGGCTACAGATTACGGATTCGGTCTGAGACTATTCTTCAACGATGATTAAGTCCATTAAGCACCGATTCTGCCGGATATCTACCGGGTCAATTTTTGGCAGATCCCAAAGGGGTACCATCACCGATTTCGTAGGCTACAGATCACGAATTCAACCCGAGGCTATTCTACACATATAATGAAGTCTATCGATCCTATTCTCCGCCAATGATTAAGCCCATTAAGCATATATTTGGGTGAATTTATTCTGGGATGGTATTTTCGTAATATTTTAGACGATTTTTTTCGAAAGGCCATTAACCATGGATTTTGAAGGCTACAGATCACGGATTCGGTCTGAGGCTATTCTTCAACGTTGATTAAGTCCATTAAGCACCGATTTGGCCGGATATCTTCCGGGTCAATTTTTGGCAAATCCCAAAGGGGTACCATCACCGATTTCGATCGATTCCGAAATGTTGTTTTCTTTCGATTTTTTAGGCTACAGATGACGGATTCAAACCGAGGCTATTCTCCACATATAATGAAGTCTATTGATCCTATTCTCCGCCAATGATTAAGCCCATTATCCATCGATTTGGGCGAATTTATTTCGGGATGGCATTTTCGTAATATTTTAGACGATTCTTTTCGAAAGGCCATTTACCATGGATTTTGAAGGCTACAGATCACGGATTCGGTATGAGGCTAATATTCAAAGATGATTAAGTCCATTAAGCACCAATTCGGGCGGATATCTTCCGGGTCAATTTTTGGCAGATCCAAAGGGGTACCATCAGCGATTTCGGGCGATTTTTCCGAAATGCCATTTTCTTTCGATTTGGAGGTTACAGATGACGGATTCAAACCGAGGCTATTCTCCAGAAATAATGAAGTCTATTGATCATATTCTCTGCCAATGATTAAGCCCATTAAGCATCGATTTGGGCGAATTTATTTTGGGATGGCATTTTCGTAATATTTTAGACGATTCTTTCGAAAGGCCATTTACCATGGATTTTGAAGGCTACAGATTACGGATTCGGTCTGAGACTATTCTTCAACGATGATTAAGTCCATTAAGCACCGATTCTGCCGGATATCTTCCGGGTCAATTTTTGTCATATCCCAAAGGGGTACCATCACCGATTTCGGGCGATTTTCCAGAAATGTCATTTTCTTTCGATTTCGGAGGCTAAAGATCACGAATTCAACCCGAGGCTATTCTCCACATATAATGAAGTCTATCGATCCTATTCTCCGCCAATGATTAAGCCCATTAAGCATATATTTGGGCGAATTTATTTTGGGATGATATTTTCGTAATATTTTAGACGATTTTTTTCGAAAGGCCATTAACCATCGATTTTGAAGGCTACAGATCACGGATTTGGTCTGAGGCTATTCTTCAACGTTGATTAAGTCCATTAAGCACCGATTCGGGCGGATATCTTCCGGGTCAATTTTTGGCAGATCCCAAAGGGGTACCATCACCGATTTCGGACTATTTTTCTGAAATGCCATTTTCTTTTGATTTTTAAGGCTACTGATCACAAATTCAACCCGAGGCTATTCTCCACATATAATGAAGTCTATTGATCCTATTTTCCGCCAATGATTAAGCCCATTATCCATCGATTTGGGCGAATTTATTTTGGGATGGCATTTTCGTAATATTTAGACGATTCTTTTCGAAAGGCCATTTACCATGGATTTTGAAGGCTACAGATCACGGATTCGATCTGAGGCTATTCTTCAAAGATGATTAAGTCCATTAAGCACCGATTCGGGCGGATATCTTCCGGGTCAATTTTTGGCATATCCCAAAGGGGTACCATCACTGATTTCGGGCGATTTATCCCAAATGCTATTTTCTTTCGATTTTGGAGGCTACAGATGACGGATTCAAACCAAGGCTATTCTCCAGATATAATGAAGTCTATATATCATATTCTCCGCCAATGATTAAGCCCATTAAGCATCGATTTGGGCGAATTTGTTTTGGGATGGCATTTTCGTAATATTTTAGACGATTCTTTTCGAAAGGCCATTTACCATGAATTTTGAAGGCTACAAATTACGGATTCGGTCTGAAACTATTCTTCAACGATGATTAAGTCCATTAAGCACCGATTCGGGCGGATATCTTCGGGGAGTTTTTTAGAATAACTCACTTTCAAATTATTTGTAAATAACTCGTTCCCAATTAACTTATTTCACTTTTTGTACCCAAACGAGTTATTCTTATGAGTTATTTTAACCAGAATAACTCATACAAATCATGCATCCAAACCATCCCTTAGAATTATTTGGTTCTCTCCAATATCTCAAAGTCTAATATAAACTCGTCACTAACTATACATTCCATTGCATGTACATGTCTCAAATAAAAAATCTATGAGGTTACTAATGATGTACTCTAAGAACCAAACCCCCCAAATAAATTTCCTTTCACTAAGAAAGACATATATAAATATACAGAAGACATGATTGGTTGCATGTTTCTAATCATATAATTCACATTGATCACCAAAATTTCATTACGTTAAATATTCTTGGAAGAAATCCAAATTTCCCAAGACTTCGAATGTTTCTATCATGCATGCTGTTTTGCTACGTGACAACTTTAATCTCCTTGTCTTACCTAAACTACAAGACTCGCGTGAAGGCTGAAAAGAGCAGACAGCCTTCACGTAAATTGACATTTCTATGTTTTACAATCTTGTAAATTGACAACTAATTACTTGCAATTACACGAACCGCAATGCGTACTTAATGACAAAGATGGTCTGAAACTAATAGCTTTTAGAAGGAACAACTGATGGGTTGTCATAGGAAACTACTCAGAATAACCCATCACCACAATAACAGTGTCTGATGTAACAAACCACAGGATAAAGCGAGGACGAGCAAGCAACAAATAACTAACCAAGCCACACAAAGAGCAAGCCCCTCTGGCTCCCATCTGCCTAATCGACTTCAATTCCACAGCACGCTAATCAACTACAAGTTGTCGGCGCTTGTAACGCACCATAACGCTTCCTTTAACACCCACCACCATTGCATTCCAGTCGATCTCTGGGAAGGGAGAAACAAGCTCGAGCTCGAAGTTCCTCAGCAGATGGGTCCATATGGCCTTTATCTGCAAGTACGCAAAGGGCTCACCGAGGCAGCCATGCCTACCTCCACCAAATGATATGTAGGAGAAAGCCCCTGCTGCCTTATCCTCTTCCCTTCCTGGAGCAAACCTGTTAGGATCATACTTATCTGGCTCGGTGAAGATATGTGGAAGCCGGTTAGCAAACGCAGGAGAAGTCGCCACGATGTGCCCCTTTGGGATGTCATACTCCTTCCCTTCTTGTGTGGTCACGCTGAAATCGCTGTGCGATTGGCGCATCAACATTATCAATGGAGGGTGCAACCTCAGAGCTTCCTTGATGCACCGGTATAGCACTTCCATTTCAGACAGCACATCATGATCCACTCTGTTACCGTGTTTCCTCAGCAGCTGCTTCTGCTCCTCAACAACGCTAGAGAGATACTCCTCCTTGTGACGTAGGAGGTAGGCCCCGGTCCAAGTGGACGTGATGGAGCTAGTGTGCTGCCCGGCAAAAAGAGCTGCGATGAGCAAGCCTGTGACCTCGCCTTCAGTTGTTGGGCGGCCATCTTTGTACTTTGAGTCAATAAAGCATTGCAGCATGTCGTTCTCCGAGCTACCAGTTTTCTTCCGCGAATTGATAATGTTGGCGAAGATCTGGGCAAGCTTCTTGCGAGCAAGGTCACGCCGGCGGTGAGCTGGAATGGGGAGATAAGGGAATAGGACACTGATTGGAAGCATCCCATTGTCGAGATCGTGGAATAGGGCAGAGACATCATCAAATAGCTTATCACGAACTTCTCGGCCAAGTAAGCACCTGCTTGCCGTCAGAATGATAAGGTGCTCAAGCTCGTATTTCAAATCCACCTCTCCGCTGTCTCCCCACTTGGAGAAGTAATCCTGCATTGTTTGAATTATAACAAAAATCAGACTAAACAGTATCCAAATTGGTATCTATATGTAATATTGTGTTTGTTCGCGTGTTAATAAGCCAGTATTATTTCTCTCAAATCTCCATTACTTGTATATGAAAACGAGAATAAATGACAATCGAGACCGACGTTCCTATTTCCTGGAATACATGTTAAAATACTTCATACATCCAAGTATTCGAGATTGCATCATGTTGATGGATTCAAGATTGCACGTACAATTTCAAATGCACTCAAATACAAAGGTACTAACAAAAACCGATCTATTCATTCAATTGAATGCTACTGTCAGTATCGTTCTTATACGTACACCCACCCAAACGACTTGTAAAAAAGAGATCATGTTGGTACAAGCAAAGTCACTTCTCATACTTGATTCTAATAAGAAATTGCAGCAATTACATAGAGAGTGAGGGGTTACAAGAAAATTTCTGACCTGGGCTTCTGTAACCATCATATCGACATAGCCCTTGAGCTTGTTGACACGTAGGGACTCGGTGAAGAAGCGGAACTGCTCCTGGCGAATGGAGTAATCGACGTCGAAGACGACGCCAGGGCCAAAAGTCGGGACATTGAACTGGTAGACCTCCTGCTGGCTGAGGTCAGCTTCAGGGGCCTTGAAGAAGTGGGCAGAGACCTCCGGGCCAATGAGGAAGGTGATGTTCCTGTTGACAAGATTCAAGGTGAAGACGCTTCCCAGCTTAGGGTACTCCTCCCTCAGCATCACAATAGGACCCTTAAGGAACCTCAGCAGCCCACCAACGACCGGTATCCCCTGCTTCACCTTTGGGGGTAGCCTCCGCTTCCCAGATCCGCTCATGAACAATGCAGTCACCACTTTGGCCACCAGCAAAGTGGCCACGATCAGGAGTGCCACGTTCACCAGCTTGAGTTTATTATTTTCAGGATCCGAATCCATGGCTACTTTCGAGCTACCTACGCACAACTAACTGCAAATCGAAGTATGACTGTATGAGTGAGCTAAATGAGGCACACCAGCTCATCCAAACAAATCTAAAAGGACAATTCAAAGGGGAGGAAACCAAAAACACATCCAAAACCCAACGGTTGCGAATGCAGATTCAGTAGAAGAAACAATCTCGAACAACATTGCAAACAATGCAGTAAAAAAGATATGATTTTTGCATACAGGATGGCAATAAAAGTCCCACTGAACATCAGAAGCTCGTACAAGACTTAAGCATTTAGGGGATCCACTCATCCACAGGTTGCTAGCATTCAGCAACTGATTGAAGGGAAACCCAACACATTACTGTTCCCTAATCAAATTAAATGAAGATTCAGAGAAACAGCAAAGGAGCACTCCACACACCAGACCGATCATCCATTAGTTCAATCCCAGAAGTTTGAATCTTTTACCTCGGCGGCAGGGGCGAGTAGACTGGAGATATGAGAAGAGCGGATTCGTGCAGCGGCAGTGCTGCGGTGGTCGTCAGGGAGAAGGGTTCGGAAGATGTGAAGATGGGGGTAAAGAACAACCGAGCGCTGGCGGTGGCGAGCGGGTTCTGGCAGGGACGATTCAGATCCGCCGGCTGGAGATCGAAGGGAAAAGATGGGCGGTACCGACGAAGGATGAAGAACAGAATGGTGTCTTTATGACTTTATCCCCCGCTACTACTAGTGTTGTTGGGGGCTTGTGGCCCAACCCGTTGGCTGGCTGATGGTTTTGGTCTCCAAGTGGGTTTGTTGGGGTGGGATACTATGCTAACCCCTAAAGGGGTAGTGGTTTTTGACACCCTCCTCTTGATTGGTCACTTTTCCATTTAAGCTTTTTACTTTATTTATTGTAATCTTGTAAATTGGGAAAGCCTTAATTGTGATAATAATTATGAATGGGGAAGGAGAAAAACGTTGGTAATTATGAATGGGGAAGGATCTGGGGAAAAACGAAATCACCTCCATTAATTACATAATTAATTTCTCTCACTGGTACATTAATTACACGTACCACTCCACTGGTACACGTACCACTCCACTGGTACACGTACCACTCCACTGGTACATGTACCAGTGGAGTGGTACGTGTACCAGTGGAGTGGTACGTGTACCAGTGGAGTGGTACGTGTAACCATATGTCCTGTTTAGGCTTAAAAAATTGTGAAGACTTTATGTTTATTCACATTCGAAGGATAATTTATTGCTTTTGGCATTGTTGTTGCTCGCACCAGTGGAGTGGTACGTGTACCATTGGAGTGGTACGTGTACCAGTGGAGTGGTACGTGTACCAGTGGAGTGGTACGTGTAATTAATGTACCAGTGAGAGAAATTAATTATGTAATTAATGGGGGTGATTTCGTTTTTCCCCAGATTCTTTCTCTTTTCCAATGTGGTGAGAGACCCCAAATTACAAGATTAAAAAAAATAAAAAATTAGTTTAATTAATACTTGCCAATGATTGGAAATAAAATTGGCCAATCATAAAGGGGGTGTCAAAAATCACTACCCCTTTAGGGGTAGTCACGCTAACTGATCCCGGGTTTGTTTGTTCTTTTATGTCTAAAAAATATCAGTCTTAGCTGTGTTTTATTTGGACTTGAGCTAATTAAATACTGACCCTTTGTTTCTAATTTCAAAATTTAATAGATCTGAATTAATTTATTTAAGTTGAACCATAAAAAATTCATTTAAGTTGATGTAAAATAGTAACTACTTTGGTTGTAGAAAAAGGTACTTACTTTATTATTATTCTATTATCACTATTTAGACAAAATTATCATTTTATCATCACTATTTTTTATTTATAAAATGTTTTATATTTGTTTTATCGTAGAAAGTAAATTATGTAAGAGTGGATCGATTCGTCCGCTCCGTACCTGCAGGGCCGCACGGGTAATATCCGTTCTGACCCGCTCCACCCGTGTGTCATCACTAAGTGTCGGTTGTAGCTAAATTTACCTATTAGGTATTTTCAATTATATAAATGTAAGTTCGACATTAGCCCGAAATCAATGAATTGAATAACAAAACAAAATAAATTTTTCGATACTTGTCGCACGCTTGTGAGCTACAAACAATTGGTAAGTTACATTTCATCAAACAAAATCCGTATATCCATCATTCTTCTCGTTGTTAATGTAATATCCAAATTATACCCAGTTGATTTATCTATATAGCAAACTGATTCAAACCGGTTCGAACTCAATCCTATCGTTGAACCTTAAATCACTTGTTTGATGGTTCAAACCAGTTTGACAACGATGGGGTTGCAATTATATCTCCAAGTTAGTGACTAATTATATCTCCAGGTGATCTTATTCGGAAGTCCAGATTACAAGATTAATACTGCCTAGCAAATTGATCTTCTTGTCACTGATCACAGCCAAGAACAGAGCAAACTTCAACTTTGGCCTTGTTGTTAACTTGGTCGCAATATATAAGATGACCACCAGCCAGCAATGGTGATGAATAGCCACGTACTCATAAAATGCAATCTTGGGAAGCCACGCTGTAAACATTAAAGCGCGAAGAAGGAAGGAAGAGATCATATTCAGTGGGTGGAGGACCGAAACCATTTCTAAATGTTGTCAGCGGTTAGCTTCTCCATGTTGGTCGACTAATTGGGGAATGCTTCCTTATCAGACAACCCCAGCTCCCTCTAAATGTCATTTGGGTAATGATTTTTTTCTAAAGAGGATCCTACAAGGCTAGCTTATATCGGTCCTTGAATGGTTGGTTGCAGCTCTCTGCCACCTCCTCACTCTCAGTTGCCATAAAAAGAACACATAGTGGTGTATTAGCTTTCTTTTCAATCTGGGTTGCGAATGAGGTAATTCGCTACTTCTGTTGCATAGTGGTATCATGATGAAGCAGAAAATGTACACAATTTCAAGTTGCAAACTCTCGGGGTGACAGAGGGCTGGAAAACGATGGCTACAGAGAGAAAACATCAATGGAAAACAGGGGTTGCGATGGCATTCTTTCCTTCTCAAGAGATTCCCCTTGTTTTAGCAACCAGAAGCAGCTCTGGAAAGCAATAATTTCTCCTTGTTTTGGATGATAAGCGCGCATTTTCTCCAGAAAAATCTTACACCCCATAAACAGCAAAGATTTCCAAGGAAGAAACTGGGGAGTGGCCAAAAACTTAGCTCAGTCATCAACCAAAACAAACGGCCTCTGTTTTCCCCTGTTTTCCAATTTGCTAGCTCCATTCTACTTGTAACTTGCTCATTGATCAACCAAACCCACCGCCGTTTTCCTTTGTTCTCAGAATTCTAGATCCGTTATACTCGTAAATTTCTCAATCGTCATCCAAACCCACCTCTGTTTTTTCCCCTGTTTCCCGAACTTTAGCTCCATTCTACTAGTAATTTGCTCATTCATCAACCAAACGAATTCTGTTTTCTCCTGTTTCTATCCAGCCTCCCCTGTTTACCTTCTTCTGATCTCTCTGCCTCCGCTGTTCTTACCCCTCTCTTTTCCTACTCCTTGAAGAAATGAGGGCCGAAAGATCTTCCTGGATGGAGTTTCTGTTCACGGCGGCGTTGATACTCGCCGCCTTTTCTCCGTTGGCGGTGAGCTGCGCTACCACTGTTCTCCGCTTGGAGAGGACACCGGTCCCTTTGAATTCATCTGCTGGCGTGGAGAAAATCAGTGCTCAGGACCGGGCTAGGCACGCCCGTCTGTTTAGCGGCGTCGCCAACTTCTCCGTCTACGGATCCGCCGATTGCGAACTCTACGGGTAGGTTTTCTTCTTCTTCTTTTAATTCATTTTTGGCGGCAAAAAGACGGTACACAAAAGTCCCAACGACGTCGTTCTGCGTATGGAAACGTTCTGTTTTTTTTATTTCCCGCCGTTTCGCTTCCTCCTCTTCATCCACAGCCTTCACGACTCCATAGTTCTCAGCTTCGCCCTTTCCCCTCTCCCCATTGAACCCTTTCCCAAGTTGATTGCGGCCAGTAATGGCGAGGACTTTCATATTTGGGTTCGACTAGATGTTGTAGGTACATAACCCATTCTCTGATTTAGGGCATCAATGGCGGTAGGTGTTAATTCTGGGTTCTCGGTTTCCTGCTTGCAATAATCTAATAGTTAATTGCATGCATGGGTTTACTAGTTTCCTCATAATTGTGGCGTTTTTTGCAGGATTTACTACACTAAAGTCAAGTTGGGCTCTCCTCCTCAAGAGTTCAGCTTACAGATAGATACAGGCAGTGATTTGCTTTGGGTTAGCGCAAAAACTTGTGGGAACTGCCCACGCTCCAGCAGTTTCAGGGTGAGTGGTTCTTGGACTTATTATTGTGCTTATGGCTCTGGACCAAATTAATGAGAAGAATTGAATATTTTGTTTGTAAAAAACCCTAGAATGCAAATAGATGGCAGTAGGGAATGAGAATACTTTTATTGATAACTATACATGCTTATATATATCTCGCTTAAATGAAATGGTGAGAATGAGTGCTCTACTTCTACAAGGTGGAGCATAATGATGAAGCTGTTACTCCTCTTTTCCAAGATAAACTTCAAATGTGCTTTTCGTTGTTTAAGGTCATTACATGATTAGCCTCTTCATTCCAAGTCAATGAATGGCTTTTGCTTGCTGTGAAATCTATCTCTTCATTCCTACTTTCCTAGTCACTTCTCGACTTTTGCTTGCTATTGGAAAGCTGTGCTGCCAACATTTAATGTCTTTAACTTCCTATGATGCATGTGGAATCGTGATTCATCAATATTTGTTTGATGTTGTGTAGATTGAGCTTAGGTTTTATGATGCTGCTGCATCTTCCACCGCCAAGGTGGTTCCTTGCTCCAATAAAGCTTGCCCAACTCGCTGTACCGAGAATGGAGAGTGTAGCTACAAGATCAATTATGAAGATCATAGTGAAACAGATGGATATTACGTTGTAGATAGAATCTACTTGGATTCCATTCAGCCCGACTCGACCATTGCCACCTCGTCAGCCCCCATCGTGTTTGGGTGTGTTATTTGAGTAATGATCAATTCTTGCTTCTTCTTCTTTTGTATGGAAGCTTACTTGAGTACTGGTGTTTGACACAGTGCTAGCACCTACCAGTCTGGTGAGTTAGGTGATTCAGCCCTTGCCGTTGATGGAATGTTTGGACTCGGACACGGACCTCTCTCACCCATCTCACAATTGTCCTCCGAAGGAGTTATACCCCGAGTTTTCTCTCATTGCTTGAAAGGAGAGGGCCTCGGGGGTGGTACGTTTGTTCTTGGAGAGATATCGGAGCCGGGGATGGTCTATACCCCTCTTGTCCCAGCACAGTGAGTACTTTTCTTCTTTATTTAATCGAACCAATGTCGTTTCTTCTTTATTCTACATTCTGCTGCAAGTTCTTGTTGTTCAGTTGACTGGGAAATCCAAACAATAACACAAGCTCCTCTTTGTAAATTGTAGGCCTCATTACAATCTTGATCTGCAAAGCATAGCCGTGAATGGAGAGCTGTTGCCTGTTGATTCATCCGTCTTTACAACGTCAACTGGTCGAGGAACGTTTATTGACAGTGGAACGACTTTGGCATACCTGGTGGAAGAAGCTTACGAGCCATTCATCAGTGCTGTAAGTAAAGTTCTCTCCCATGGCCTTGTTAAATATAGATGGTGGATTGCCTTAGGTAAATGGTTTACATTTTAGAAACATGTGTCTGTGCAAAAGAACAGTTTTATAGTATTGGATAATCCAGCAGCTGAGGATCAGGACTGTCACTGCTCACTTTACAGCAGCTGAGGTGGGCGTATCCACCTTGCAGCTGGCTCAACCTTGTTCTTCACCATGTTTTTTGCAGCAGCAGTGGCCTCTGGTCCTCCAAGTTGCTTTTTTAGTTCTGTCTTTTGCGTTTCTTTTTTATGTTCTATTTGTTCTTTGGTCCTGGATGGCTGGTCAGGGATCGTTCCTGTTTGTTTCTGAACAGACCTTTCCTTGTATTACATTCCTTGCTTTGCTACTTGTTCATTAGTATACTTGCCCACCATTGTTGAAACAAAACATAGAATCGAGAGGAAGAGAGTAGGAAAGACATTCCTTAGTTTCAACATCTTAACATCTGAATCCTATGACTAGGACTTATTTGTGGCTTTTCCTTGAATCTAAAAACATGCTGCAGCAAATATCCTTTTTTCCGACAAGGCTACTAGAATTCTATGGACCGCACTTGAATGGAAGCAGTTACACTAAACTTGTAGTTCTTGCGTAGTAAACTGGTTGTATCAGTTGTGACTCTCTTGCAACTTGCAAGAGACTCTTGAAGCATTATTAAGAATGCCCTAGTAGTATTGGTAGTAGTAGTAGTAGTAGAACTGACTTGTCAAAATACTTTTGAAACTCTTGAGGCATCTGTTCCAGTGCTAAAATGACTTGTTGAAATGTTAGGTTACTGCTGTGGTCTCACCATCCGCCACTCCTATACTAAGCGAGGGACAACAGTGTTACTCAGTCACTTCCAGGTTTGACATTGGTTTTCACAAATATGCTTAAGATGAAAAATTCTCAGATGGGTGTTCGGGTTTATGTTGATAATGTCTTCCCTCTTGTGCAGTGTTTCTCAAGTATTCCCTGCAGTTAGCTTTAATTTTGCCAACAGCGCATCTCTTCTGTTAAAACCAGCAGACTACCTTCATCAATCTGTTGTAAGTTGTTACAGTTCTGGCTTCTGATTCTCTTGCCTTAATTTATGGATTCACTTGTTAGTTGTTTCTCTCCCTCCACAAAGTCTAACAGGCCATACTCCCTTGTAGATGGATGTTGGTGGCATTTGGTGCATAGGGTTTTTGAAGAAGCCAGGAGTGACCATCTTAGGAGGTTAGTCTATGTATCTTTTTTATTAAAAAGTCCGAATGTCTTCCTCGACTAACTGTGCTGCAAAAACACCAGACTGACTGACTGGCTGAGTTAATAATGTTCTAATTCTGATTGCCTTGTCTTGTTCTAATCTGCAGATCTTGTTCTGAAAGACAAGATCGTTGTGTACGATCTTGTCCATCAGCAGATTGGGTGGACTTACTACGACTGTAAGATCAATAAAACCATATGAGTCTTCCTTCTGTCCTTCCTTTGCCGATTCATTTTTCGTTTCAACTAGTATTGCTGACCGGCTCCTTGTTTCACCCCTCATCCAGGTTTGAAGGCAGTGAATGTTTCTGCTCCGAAACAGCGAAGCTCGAGCGCTTCTTCCAGCGACATGCTGTTGACGTCGCTGCCTCTAGCAATCATCATTCTCTCCTTACAAATATTCTCGGTGATTGTGGATCAAGTCAATGTAATTAGTGTTCTTAGCTAGCTTGTGGATCAAGTCAATGTAATTAGTGTTCATAGCTAGCTTAGTCCATGTTTTTTATACAGTATCTGAACAATATGATCAATAATTCACTCTTTCCCCTGATTCTTACACTGTTCTCATTCCTGACTTATGAGTTACTAATGAGAAGGGAGTGGAGTATAGGAACGGCATGAAGTATCAATGGATTTTCTTACTAATTATGTTCTTCCTAATTAGCATATTAATTAAAACCGGCCTCCTAAATTACCCCGCACATCAATATTGAAATTCAAAATACACAATATCAATTACAGTTGTCCTCAACAATATATAGAAACATCATTATTGTTGTTTCTCTTTTTTGGGGGGATCAAGGAAGACAATAATCACTTTCCAAAACACCAATAAAAAATGGTATAACATAGATATAACTTTCCATAACACCGGAAGAGAAATATGGTATCATTAATCTTCTATCTTTTTGGCTTCCTATATAAACAGATAATCTATCACTTAAATTACCAATTGAAATCTCAACACAAAACAAAAAAGTCCAGACTTTATCAAGCTCTGTGCCGGTTCCATATCCAAGCATACTATGGGGAAGACTTGTTTCAAGTTGTTGTTCTACATCGTGCTTTTGATTTTTGTTGTTTCTGGTAAGTATATTTTTTTGGTCTTTGTTATATGATAGCACATCATTTTCGTATTGTCTTCAATTCATAAAAAAAATCAACAGATTGTTTTCTTTGCTAACATGATCCGTTGTTTTCAAAATTAAAAAAAAATTGCGTACTGCAGGCGGGAACAAGAATCAAATTGGAGCAGAAGGCAAATACGTGAGCAAACCGTGTGCAAGTCAGGATGATTGTGCTTCATGGGGTCCCCCATGTCACTGTAACTTGGGACTTCATATGTGCGTCTGTAACGTACCACCGAGTGCAAAATCTCTTCTAAACTAAATCTCAGAAACTGGAAGATGGATATTTGATACTATTATATGAATAAAATGGATGTTTTGTTTTGAAATTGTCGAGGTATCAGTCCAATCCTAACAAATCGATCATTAGTTGATGTTGTAGTTCATCGTCGCTCATTTCTACCCTTCCTTTGTGAAGCTAAGAATGTGGATGATCATGTAAAAGAGTATCAACTACAGCCTTAATGATTAAGATTAACATGAAGATTTAAAACCACAATACAAAGTCATAACCATTTGCCAAACTACTCTCAGTAAACAAGAAAACCAGTCCAATGAACTGATCTACTGCAAATGGAAAAGGAACCAATACAAATACTTCAAAAACAAAACAAAACAAAAAAACACTTCAAAATGGTGTACCAATTTCACTCCTAGTTTCAGATGGGCTGTAAAGGGCAGATCGGTTTCTAGGCCTGTTCTCCTCCAATTGCTTCACCACTTCATCCATGGTTGGCCTGACAGAAGGAACTGGAGCGCAGCACCCCATTGCAAGCTTCAACGCCTGCAGCAGACCTTCCTCCATGGGATTTCTGAGACCCTTCAGGATGTCGATATCGAAAACTTCCATCGTTGTTTCCTCCAGCACTGCCTCCTTCACCGTCGATGGAAGGTCCACAAAGTCACTGTCCTTGCCATTTTTCCCTGGTTTCTTGCCAATCAAGATCTCCAGCAGAAGTATGCCGAATGCATATACATCCGTCCTGGAATTGCACTTCTTCGACCTCTGAAGCTCCGGCGCTTTGTAACCATCTATTTTCGCTTGGGCTACGATCTCGTCAGCTACAGTTGGGACCATCAGCTTGTCGAGCCCAAACTCGGTGAGCCTAGCGACAGAGAAATCGTCGACCAGCACGTTTTTGGACCTCACGTTGCCATGGGTAATAGGCGTCTCGAGACCCGTATGAAGGTATGCCAGTCCCCTGGCAATGCATAACGCTATCTTGTGTCGCTTGGTCCAGTTCAGCATTGGCTTCCCCACTTTAGTCTCTACACAATCAGGCATGTACACAAATTAATGCAGGAATGACTCTAATATGCTAAGTTGAACCAGAAGCTAAAGGTTTGTTTTGATGGTGGATTGTAGCTCAAGCAAAAAACAAAAGACATGCATTGCAACAAGAAAGCCAGAGAGAGGGGGAGACCAAACATACTTACCATGTAAGAGATCGTGGAGATTACGGTGTGGAAGATAGTCGTAGATAAGCAGCTTTTCACCTCTTTTCCCTTGGTAGAAAGCTCTCAAGGGAATCAAATTCTCATTCCTTATCTTCCCTAGTTGTTTGATCACAGATGAACAAGAACTTCCATCCTTACAACTCCCTTCTCTTAAAAGCCTCAGAGCAATCGTGCTTCCATCACTTAACTTTGCCTTGTAAATGGTCCCGTAGCTTGTCTTCTCCATAACTTGTCCCGTGGCATTCAACACATCGTCGAGCGTCAAATGCTCGCCACCTTGGAACAACACCAGCTTCCCTTCTCCACCACCACCGCCGCCACCATTTTCCTCATCATCTTCTCCTTCCTCCAGTTCATCCTCACTATCTCCCCTACCTTTCCTCTTCTTGTTCTGCACATAACCAATCAACAGTGAAGCCAACACCACCACTCCAGTCATCAACCCGATCACGATCCCAGCAATGGTGCCAGGGCTCAAACCCCCAGAAGTTGCAGTTCCACTGCAACTTTTCAAGGGATACCCACAAAGTGTAGGGCTGTTCCCTTCAAAAGCCTCCACCCCAAACTTGGAGCCCTCAAAAGTAGCAGGCAACATCCCACTGAAGTTATTGTGCGAAAGATTCAACTTTTCCAGGTGTTGTAAGCCCTGAGGAATCTGCCCTTCAAATGCATTACTCGAAAGATCAAGCTCCTTCAACCCTCCAAACTTGGTCACAAATTCAGGGAACTTCCCTGAAAACCTATTGCTACCAAAATCAAGCACCTCCAGCTTCTCGCAAGTGGAATTCGGCAATAATGAAGCAGGGTCTGGAACCAACCCAGATAACGAATTGCCATGAACCCTAATTATCACTAATTTCTCACACAAGTTCCAAATTGAAGGAGCTAAAGACCCAGTCAACAAATTGCCACCCAAATCAATATGAGAGAGTGAAGAGCTGTAACCGAGCTCGAGAGGGATGGTTCCAGTGAGCGAGTTGAAGTTAAGAAACAAACCCTGAAGCATTGAGAACTCACCAAGCTCTCTGGGGAGTGAACCAGTGAGGTTAGCTGAAGGGAGCTGTAGGGAGTAAAGGTGGAGAGAAGGGTCTTTGAAGAGGGAAAGATTGGACCACTGTGGAGCTGAGAGGTCCTCTGAGCAAGAGAGCGGAGAGCCATTGGAGAAAACCCATTTGAGACCTCGCCATTGACAGAGCGGGACCGTGGTGGTGTTCCAAGATGAAAGCAAGAGGTTTTCATTGTTGTTACCTTGGAGCAAAGGTTTGATCTTGCCTATGAGAAGCTCAACATCCGTCGTGGTAGCAGAAGAAATGTGGGCTAAGGCGATGGCGGAGAGGAAGAAGATGCGGGAAAGGGTGCAGAGAGGGTAAAGTTTGGGAACCCCCATTACTGAAAGAGAAGAGAGAGTGTGGGAGTGGGAGAAAGAAACTGAGAAAGTAGTGAGTTGAGGTGAGTGAAGTTAAAACTAAACAGGGGAAAGGGAAAGGAGTAGACTAATAAAAAGCTGTGCTTTCGGCTACTTTGTGAGCCGTCCGATCAGCAGTCTTTCTCTTGGGGAAGGTGGCGACCAGGCTAATCGACGGTGGAGCGGGAAGTGGGGACATTTGACCTTTTTGAAATTCTTGGGTCGTTAAATTGTTGCTAGTAGAAAAGAGAACAACGGGCAGGTGGAAAGGATGAAGCATAATGAGTATGCCATCGGCATGCTTTCGCCTTTCAGTGGCAAGCTTACTAATAATGCGTGCTTTTGTCAGTGTTTGTTTACTTGTTATATATAACACTTGATTATGAGTAAGACTAATCGTTATATAGTACTTGAAGGAGAAAGATGTAAATATGCTAAACACTCGAGATCAGAAAGTATAGTTTCTGTTGATTTTGTTGATTACCATTAGTCTAAGCCCTGGTTGTCAATAGAGACACTCAACTTATTGTTCGGTCTTGCAGACCAGCCTCTCGTTGAGTGCTTGAGCTACCTCTTTCGAAAGTTTCACCTCCACGATTCGCGCGAAGCTCGGAAAGGCTGTTGAAGCAAAGATCACAAGTTGGCCTGACAAATTGGCCATAGATGTGCATTGCCACAGCTCGACTCAGCGGCAGGGTGTTGTCCTCTCGTCGAACGAGCAGGATCATGAGCACTTTAGTTTTGTTCTCATATTTCGCATGCTCATCCTAAGAAACTGGACTAGTTCTTCTAAGTATCCCATATCCACAATCGAGAGAAATGTTTTGCTGATTACTTCCAAAAATAAGGAGATACATCTCAACCAAATAGAAAGGAGGGGTACAAAGAGAAGTCTCTAACTATTCCCTCAGTAAGCACCAACGGTAACTTCAAAAAGGTGGAAACAAATACAAACTCAGAACTGTGTTTTTCCTGTTCGTACAAAAAAGACCTACATTTCTCCAGATCAAACAGTAGTATGAACCTGAGACTCAACTGATCTCAACACTGCCTCTCCCATTTCCTTGCAGCCGACCAGTTTCTGCACAAGATTGTGTTGTTTATATGAGCGCCTAATACATAATTATATTCCTACTTCCTACTCATATGCTAAAGCACAGCCAAGAAGCAAGTTAGCGATGGCTTCAACGTAAAGAGATCACTTACAGTGCCGGTTGAATATATATCTCCCGTCCTGAACCCCTTGTTTAGTGTATCAAGTACAGCATTCTCGATCCACCTTGCAGCATCTTCTTCCTCTAAGCCGTACTTCAAAAGCATTGCTGCACTGAGAATAGTCGCCAGTGGATTTGCTTTATCCTGTGTTGTGAAGAATTGAATGTCAATGTGGATGATATAGGAGACTAATGCGAAACTTATTTTCAAAATGAAGAAGAATCATGCTGACCTGTCCAGCAATGTCAGGAGCAGAACCATGAATTGGCTCGAAAAGTCCAGGACCCTGTAACCAATTAAATGTTTTTAAGTAAGAAGGTGTAAATGAGTTAAAGCAAGAAGCCTTGGCTGGCTGTAGCGAGATTTGGTAAGTACCGAAGATCCAAGGCTAGCTGATGGAAGCATCCCTATGCTACCAGTGATCATCGAGGCCTCATCAGAAAGTATATCACCAAAGATGTTGTTCGTCACTATTGTATCAAACTGCAAACATCAACATGAATTCCAGAATTTCAGTTTTCCTTGTAGATCCTTATAACGAATTTTGAGGTCTGTATGAAGTATGAACATAACCTGTTTTGGGTTCCGTACAAGCTGCATAGCTGCATTGTCAACGTACATATGTGAGAGTTCAACGTCGGGATACTCTTCTGCAATTGCAGTTACTCGCCTTCTCCACAGCATTGATGCCTACATAGTATATAACGCAATGAAATTTTGACCATTGTCTAGGCATATTACCAAATAATTCAGCACAAATACCTCCAAGACGTTTGCTTTATCGACAGAACAAAGCCTTCCCTGCCGCTTCCTTGCAGTCTCAAATGCAACACGAGCAATCCGGTCAATCTGGTACAACCATAAGTTCACATCAATCAATTATTCACAAGAAACGAAGTAAAACAAAAGAACTAAACTACTCTATTATACCTCATATGCAGCATAAACCTCGGTATTGTAACCGACTTCCTCACCATTTTCATCTATTCTAAAGCCCCTTGGCTGGCCAAAGTAAATACCTTTTTCCAAACAAAAGCTTTCTTCAGCTTGGTATAAGCCATAAAGAAAAACACATACAGAATAGAGAGTGAAAGAGATGAACTATCAAAATAAATAGAACTGACCTCCAGTAAGCTCCCTTACAACCATAACATCAACACCTTCAGCAACTTCTCTCTTCAAAGTTGAAGCCTCCACTAACTAAGCTAGCACACGATACAGGCATACATCACTCATTATGAATATGCCTAGTCTCTGCATTCATGAAGCTGAAAGCTAATCAAAGACCTTCGAACAACAACTACCTGTGGGAGGACAGTAGCTGGTCTCAAATTTGCAAAAACCTTGAGACCTTCTCTAATCTGGAGCAATCCAGTCTCGGGCTTCAAATGTTTGGCATTATTGTCCCATTTGTACCTTTGGAATGTCACGGGAAACTAGCACTATTCAGTTCCTCTTAGCAAATGGAATTGAAGATTGAAGCGAAAAGAAACTGCATAGGCTGAAGAAACAAACAGCATCCAATGCTAGCTCAACTTACCCCCCAATAGCTCCAAGAAGAACTGCATCAGAATGTTTAGCGGCTGCTAAGGTTTCGTCTGGCAATGGAACTCCCACCAAGTCCAATGCAGATCCACCCATAGGCATCTCTTGGAAGTTAAACTCAATCCCTAGCACATCCAAGCCATCGTATGAGTGAAAGTTATATTCCAATAGCCTGGAAGCAATCAATCTAACTATAATCTTCGTTCAGTCACAGGCAAGTTCGAACGCCTAACCATCTCTACCATTTCCCAGCAATAATCCTCCACTCTTCAGTTAAAAAAGTAACCTGAAATGCTCAAAATTTACATTTAAACCACTTGATAAGTAGCTCTCTTTACATTGAGAGCTAATAGCATAACAAGACTATACACATTTAAACCATCTCTACCATTTCCCAGCAATAACCCTCTTCACTCTTCAGTACCAAACTAACCTGAAAGACTCGAAATTTACATTTTACTGGCTTGATTTCACTGCAATAGTTCTCCCATTCCCAGTTTTTATATCTTTTACCTTCGTATGAGCACAAGGTATTTGCAGAAAAACAAACCTACCTTCCAGAGAACCAGTAAGCTTGAGAACGTCCTTGGCTACAGAGATGACTTCAGGGCCAATGCCATCTCCAGGAAGGAGAGTAATCGAATACCGTTTCTGTGGCGCATTCGCCGGCGCGCAGCTTACACTGAACAGTCTCCGGGAGCATTTGGAAGCAGGATTAACCCGGAACGCTGTGCTCGCTGGCTTGCAATTTATTTGCAGAGAAGCCGCCATTCCCCTGCCAGAGGCAAAGATTAAAGATAGGGATATCTGAAAATAGAGTAAACACGGAGAACTGAAACCTTAATAAGGGCAAACGGAAGTGTGTCGCGATCGAATCGACCCAGCCCAATTGCGAGTTCCGACTGAAAATAACAAAAAGCTTCTTACTTTATATCCCACCTGGCTTCTACTGTCTTTCAGAGTCCAGAGAGCAGCCAAGGGGCGATTTTGGAGCAGAGTTTATCTGGCCGCAAAGAAAGAAGAGGAAAGGAAGAGACTTTCGGCGGCGGTGGGAGCGGAGAAACTTGGGTTTTGGTCTTTTGGATAGGTGGGGAACCAGGAACCAGGAACCAGGAACCAGGAACCAGCCCGGTACTTCGTCCGGGTCGGTAAACCAAAGGGTAAGCTATAAATTGGCGGGAAAATAGAGTAATCCAGAGAAAAAAGAACCGAAGGCCGGCCACATTCGATCAATTTCTGAAGAACTTCCTCATTCTTTTTCTTCCTCGAGTCCTCGTCAATCGCTTCACTCTCACATCAATGAATGACGCAGCTCCGGCAGAACAATCGCCACCACCAGTCCCAGTTCGACGTTTTCCGCGGCGGAGAAACTCGCGGTGGCTTGAGAGAGGGGACGAGATCTCGCCGTCTATCTCGGTGGCGGTCGCGAGTTTGGAGGTCTGCGTCGTCGTTTTCTGGGAAAGCTACGCGTTTTCCCCCTTGATGCCTGGACGAGATTGCCAAAATTGCAGAGTGCAAGCGCCGTAAGGGGACGGCGGTCGTGCCCGTGTCGACTGTCGAGTGAGCGGTCAGCTGGGGCAGGTCGGGGAGGCGCTTGATGGAGGCATGGCAGTGTATGAGAAAAGGTGGAGAGGTGCGCTGGGGAAAGTCGGGAATCTCTCCGGCTAGGGTTCCGGCGTCACCAGGTAATCATTAGAGACCTAATATACCTTTAATTGCCTCATTTCCCGTCCTTGATTCCTTGTTTGGCAGCACGATTATTTACAATGGTTTTGTGGCAGGCCAGAATCGAAACTCTTGGATGAAGTTGTCAATGATGTCTTTGAACAAATTAAACCAACGATGCCCAAAACCAGTCCCATGGAAGGTCTGGTCGGAATCCAAGCTCTCATCAAGGAAATGGAATCCTTGCTGCATAAGGATTTTCCAAATGATGATCATGTTCCTACGGTGGGAATATAGGGGATGGGTGGCATTGGCAAAAACCACAAGGCTGAAGCCATATTTGATCAATTGTCACCTCAATTTGAAGGTAGCTTCTTATTGGAAAATGTTCAGGAGCAGCTGATGAAAAGACCATATTCCACTTACGAGCACTTATACGGTAGATACTAGACATCAATGAAAGCTTATATTCGTGCAGAAGGAACGGGCTCTGTCACTTGGAAGTTCTTATAGTTGTCAATTATATAGCTGACTCTATACAACTGCAGGAGTTACTGGGTGATGGAGATTGATTTGATCCAGGAAGCATAGCATAATCAATCTTACTAGTAGAGATAGGAATCCTCTCAGCATTGTGGCTGATAAAATTATTGGGACACAGGGTTACTTATACGAAGATGTACAATACAAGAGGTTTGTGGACTATGACAAGGGCAATCCTTTGGCCATAAGGGTGTTAGGGCTGACACAGGGTTTCTTCCCCCGATTCTGCCTCATTTTCCGACCGCCACCCCCATCTCATCTCATGAAACACCATTAACGTACACATGGGCTCCTTCTCCCCAGTCCGCAATAAGTCACGTCCGTCCTGGCGTCCTCCGCTCCGAGTCCAAGAAACCTGAAACTATAATCCTTTGCTAACACACAGTCAATCACCGTTACGCAGAGTCCGTCGGGAGCTTGACTCCCAAATCAAACTACCGGATCGTCTCCACTCCAGTCCATCAACTCCCTTTTCCCTTCACAAATATCAATGGCGACGTAGGCAAGGCAAATATTTCTTTATTTATTCCAGTTAATCCTTCCTTCTGCCGTTTGTTCAGACTACTAATTGTGATTGTAAACATGGAGCCCACTGACATTGTTAATAGTTTAATACGACTAATAGGTCTAAGTTTGTTTTGACTTCTTTGTCAAAATTCCAACTTACAAGTTAATTGTCATCAAAATCACCCTGGTCACAGTGGCCCTCAATCAAACAATTGTACCAACGAGCATTTGGAGAATGACTAAGCATTGCCATGTCATTGCAAAATTCGATTGGTGATACCAACATAAATGCGGAGGATTGCGTATAAAAAATTATGTAACATTAGGGTTGCAAAAATTTCATGTACCACAAAAGCAAATATGTTCATCAATAATGACAACATGATGTAGGCATCACCCGAATTGAACAACCTTCCAACTCATTAGAACAACCATAAAATTCAGAGTCAAACACCACAACTTCAATGTATATATAGAAGAATTTCCAACATCTACACTATCATTAAACTCATGGAATTTTATTAAAAAAAAACTGGAGGAGATGACAACAACACAAACAAGGTAATCTCTCAAACTTTTTACTTTTAGCCCCATTTGAAAATTATATTTAGACACTTTATGTAAAGAAATTACATGGTTAAGTTCATGAGTTTCTAAATAGTGACTTCAACTCTAAATAGTTATGTTTTTTCGTCATGGTTTCTTAATGAAAGAAGACTACAATTAAACGAATGGGATAGTTCACACTTGGTCGGCTCAAATAGAAATGCTTCTCGATCGCGATTAGCAATGCAGTAGGGATTATGATTCATATAAAGACAGCAAACACTGCGGTTTGGGCAACACATCTTTCTACATGTGTTTACCACATTAACTTCATCACTTGAATGCATGATTTTGCTATTGAATAAGAAAGTAAAGTTGAGCCGAACCACATGATAACATCAACAAGATAAGATCTCATGCCAATCTCTTCGCAATGATGTTAATTCAATACCATTACCTATATTGAAGAGCGGCAAGCATACTATTTGGGACCTCTTAGATTTCGATTGATTAGATCCACAACACTGTACAACCTTCATCCATGAAACAACTGTATCATGGTCATGGATCATCTTCCATGTTTCTAATATGGTGTTATCAATTGTCCCTCTTTTCGCTATACTTTTCTATTTATGTCCTTGATGCTCTAAGATATATTAGTTACTTTTATGTTGTTTCACATTGATGATATTTTTCTTTCAACATTAATCTACCTAATATACTAAAATTGTGGATCACAAAACCAATGCAAATAAGAGGTTGGTCATCTTAATATAGATATGAGACACACGAACGACTAAATCAAAAAGTGAAATGAAAAGGAGAAAATGAAAATAACTCGACCATGGGCCGGGCTCAAAGCTAGTATTATTGACCGACTTTTTAGATGCTACAACAATTAATCTACACGGACCATAGCCTACACTATGCCAGAACAGTTTAAGATCCTTCAACTCAACTATGTCCGATTAACGGGCAAGATTAGAAGCTAATTTCTTTATAACGTGTTATTAGCTTCCTAAGGCTCCTGAGAGTCGTGTCTATGTTGCTTCCGGTCAGGACTGTGTTAGCAGAGGTTTTGTGTCTGCCAACATAGCAAGCAAGGAAGAGGCGAACAGACAGTGACAAACAAACTTCAGAAAAAAATTGTATCATACTTAAATAACTGGTAATTGTACGGTATTTTCAACTGAATACGTGACATGGTTAACATGGCTTGTATTTTCAAGTAACTAGATACACGTGAACTAGAATAAATAGAAATTAGATAGCCATAAGTGCAGAAAGCATTCATCGAAGCAAAAGAAGATAAGCATTAGGCCGTAAGTTTTGTTCGGGGGGCATCTTCAAACCAATCAAGCCCAATAAAGATTACGATCGAAGTTCCCGAGCTTAAAGCAATCTCTGTCAGGATGATAGATCGGCACCAAACAGTCCGGATCACATCCTGCACAACCCTTCGTCAAGCTAGAATAGTCACCTGCACACGCCAATATAAAGTTAGATGAGTTCAGAACTGACGAGTCATGAATTGGCTTGTGAAACAAATCACTCGTTCGTTGACTGTGATAGGTTCTACAAATTAAGCACTGCACTCACCATTTTGATCAGGAGAAAGGATGCAATATGATAATACTTCAGGCTGATCCTCCGGTTCATCCTCACTGACGACCTCGCCAAAAATCCGGTGGATAGCTCCGGCCTGATCTTTGGCTGTGAAGTTGAGATGGATGATCAACTTGTCCCGGCAATCAAAAGGAAAGCTGACTAATGCCTCATCAAGCGCTAAATCAGCACCCTGAACAAGTAATAGGATAATGGTTTTTGTTAGCAAAACAAGGACAAAAACTTCAGACTTGAAAACTTGCAATTGAAAATACGTACAAACCTAATTAAGAATGCATATCCAGGACCCATACGGAAAACAAAGCAGTCAGAGCATAACCCATTTACATAAGCTAGAACAACCATTAACCAAAGTCTACAGACCGCATAAGCCATTAACAGCAGCCAGAGCAACCCTTAAAAGTTTAAGAACAACATAAGTCATTTATAACATCCAGACCAATCCACCATTTATAAACAAAACCACCCAACACACACATACCTACTGCATTACACTGCACTACGACTACAAATAAAACAAAAGAGGTAAAATCTTACTAACAACCCAAACCGCAAACCACGTTGTGTAGAGCGCACACTAACACAAAAACCACAACTTGATTCATCAACAGCCCCACACAAAGAACACAACCATTAACCTCACTTTCCCACTCCCTGATTTTATCAAGATTGTTTATTCTATTTAAGGCAATCAGCATATCATCACCCAGTTCGTTGGCGGTCCAAAAGGAGCTTTCAAACAAGTTTTTAATCAGAACAAATCTAAACTAAACTCCATGAATAATACACAAAGGAAAAGAAAAAACTAAGCGACTAGAGATAATATGAGTCGGGCAGAAGTACTAACCTCATTCTCAAGATTGTACGTTTCTAAAACTTTCTCAGCGTAAAACAAGTTCTGTTCTTCCAAAGTTCTTGATGGGATGAACCTATCGCCAATCAGTCAAAACTCAAGCACATAAATATGTGGGTTCTACTAATGAAATTAAGACAGACAAAAATAAGAGAGCTCTTACTCAATGGGCTCATCAACCGTGGACGGAGCTACGATAATTCCAGCGAACTTCGCAATGTCCTCCTGATGGGTCTCCAGGTAGGAGAGCAGTTGCATGCTGTTATCAACTTTGGCAGCCGTTTCCGCCTCGATCGACTTTTGGTGCTTCACCGTCGATGCCATATTACCAAGGTGCATTTTCATCGCCTGCATTACTATAAGCTGTTCCTGGAATTGCTTGCTCAGCAGGCGCAATTCCTCGCCATTCGCAAAAGAAAGTCGCTTCAGCTTCTGGTTTTCCGATCGGAGCTTCCTGATTGTCTTCTTGTTTTCATTCCGTTGCGGGTAGGATACTTCGCCGTCGTGGGATCCTCGGCGAGAGTCGGGATCGATGCTGTGAATAGAAGGTAGCGTTCCGCCGGAGCGCGATCGTCTATCCATGTAACCGGCTAGGGTTTCGATTTGATGGGAGATTTGAGGATTCGGGGATTGGAACGAATAGCGAATCGTCTTTCTATTCTTTCCACTACTCTGGTACGTGTGGGCTGGGCTCTATTCTATTCTATATAATTGCAGCTCTCCGGCCGACGTCCTTTCCGTACGCTGTTAGGCTTATCACGAATCGGCCCACAAATAAATAATGAGGATTTTATTTTATAATAATAAATAATGAGGATTAATAAGGGTAGGGGAATGGAATTCAGATAAAATAAATGAAATTAATTTCCGTAAGCCATAAAGCAACAAACAAACAACACTAAATCCCAACCGTCCGTAGCCTTTCCCCTTTCCTTAGACAGAACGGTGCTAACATTGCAGAATTGAAGTAGGAAATCCAAAGGTCTACCAATTAGGTTTGAGCTCTCGATTTCTTTTCTCTGTGGTTTTCTCGTCCACGGCCGTTCTCCGTCAGCTGGATTTCTCCAGGCAGCTCCCAACTTTCCAGAGAGAGTTAGACGGCGAAAATGGAGGTAGGATATTGTTTTCTCTTCCCAAGTACTCAAATTCGGTCGTGGTCTCCGTTTTCAGTCAGGAAGTTTGGTCTTGTGGGATTTATGTTTCTCATGCTCCCTTTCTATTTAATGTTGCGGAATTTTAGGGTTCGATGATCCCCGGCGAGGAGCCGACCAAGGGTGTCGCGGCTGATGAGGACCAGGACGTTGAGTCCGTCGAGAAAGGCGGAAGCCTGAATGAATTCAGGAGGGTATTAATAGGCATGACAGAGAGACTGCAGCAAGCGAAGACAGAGAAGGGAAAGTTGGCCAGGCGTGTGATCGAATTGATGAGGGTGTTGAAAGGCATGGAAGCGAAGCTGGATAGGGTGAAGAGAGAGAAGGGGGAGACAGAGAGGAGATTGATGGAAAAGGAGAGGGTACTGAAGGCCATGGAAGTTGAACTGGAGCAGTTGATGGCAGAGAAGAGAGAGATATCGGGCAGATGATTTGCTGACGTCAAGGTCAGCCCTACTGGAACCAACTGCTAGATAAGGAGCTTCTACTTTTGTGCCTTGTTACTTTGATCGTTCGCGTAGACACTGACTTGGTTTAGCCAATGAACTTTGCTTGCAAGGTAAAATTAGTCAGGTTGTTTGTAGAACAAGTTAAGTTATTTTATCAGGAAAAGGTAGCAATGAAAGCAATAGTAGCGAATTGTACTTAGCACTCTCAAGGTATAACAGTACATCCCGCCTTGGATCAGATTACAATCATTCTTTGTTTATAAACAAAATAAGGTTTTCCTGTCGATGACATTACAAATAAATTGATGCATAATGACAAAATAATTTACAGCAACCTTTTAATCACCTAGTGGAATCACACAATAGGATCCTTCTTGTGACTTGTGAGGAGTAGGATTCGTGATTCTCATTAGATGTGGTGATGGGATTTAAATACCCAATTTACAACACAAAGTCCTCTCCCACCATGAATGCACGTAGCCTACAATGTAGGAATGAACTAACCACTAAATATGGTAATTAAATACAAAATTATTTAAGCAAAAGTAGTATCCTTATCACGCCCCCGCAAGATACATAAATCCTTTTACAAATAGTACTACTAATATGTAAACCCTCAAAAACATCCATCACTAGTATCCATGCAGGTAATCTCCACGAGGGTGGTATATTGGGACTTCAGCATCAGGATCACAACCTCCACATCCTTTCTGGTAATGGTCATAACCACCTATGAACAACAAACATGAGCATAATCAAGTCAAACAATACTCAAGAAACCAGTGATTCTCATTTTTCTATTGAATTGGGCATTAAAGATACTCCTAAAAAAACAGACGAGACGAGAGAACGTTTACTGTGGAACGATCTTTTTCTTTTGGGGAAAAGCAAAGAGTTAGAAGTACCAGTATCTCCACGCTCGAGGATGCAGTGCGACAACACTACAGGGTCATAATCAAAAGTTGCCTCAGCAAAGAAAAGATGGACAGATCCATCTATGTCCTTGACCTTGAAGTTGATATGGACGTAGAGACAGCCACAAGACTCCACTGTGTTACTGGTTACCCCTTCCTCCAATTCCAGCACCACAGCCTGGAGTTTTGTGAAATTCACAAACAATGAGTGTATCTATTTCCTTGTATATCTCGATATCGAAGCACACATTACTCATGGCGGGTAGGTTACTAACCGGATACTCATCCTTGTAGGCCTTCATAATCTTTTTTGCAAAAAACTCGGTTTGGTGTTCCGTAGTTCTAAAGATCAAGCAACTATCCAATATCCACCACAATCGCAACCAGTTATTCTATACTCATTACAGAATCAGGGTATACGAACGAGACAAGTGGGTTTGAGCATTGTTTACCGTTCATCCAACTCCTTGAGGTACTCCGGGCTGGGTACGACTCCAATGGGTACATGATTTGCATCTCTAACTAATGGCAACACCTCCAGAGCAGCTTCATTTATGGACTTCAGCTCTCCCAGACAAGGGATCATTTCATCATCCAGCACACTCCTCATTGCTTCTTGGAGTGGACGATTCGCATCAAGTTTTAGCTGAAGTTGACCCATTCCTCGAATCAAGTCCGACTGAAGTTGCTGCATCTCCGAAACCGCGTCTTTCGTAGTCGTTTTAAGCTTGGCCTTGGGCATCTGAAAACTGTACGAGACAATGGCGAGAAGAAAAAGAAAAATCCCGCCTTGAGATGAAAACAGACAGGAAGTTGTAAATTATTTTGTTCCTCAAGAACGGGGAGCCGACGGGTCTCACCTGGATCTTGACGAGGAGATGCAGAGATGAAGGATAATGAGGAAAGTGCGGGCCGGAGTTGGGTATTTGGACTGCCACCACGCTGGTCCTGGCCACGGGGTGAAATCGGCGAGAGAGAGGAAAGTGGAGGGGCGGCGAATAGAAGAACGAGATGCAAAGGGCTGGAGAATCGAGATCGGTGGCTTTGCTTCGATTGCAAATCATTAGGGTTTTTGGGAAAAAACGGCACCGTTTGCTAGTGTTCGCATCATAATTCATAAACCGGGTTCCAAAATAACAAGGTTGTCCATTAATACTTGGGCCCAATTGTTAGGTTGTTCACTAGATTACTAAAAAAAGTTGATTTTTTTGTCAATAAAAATATTTAATTTCATTGTGTCATTAAAATTAGTTGATCATTTCAAGTTTCGTCCTTCAACTCGATTATGTTTTGCTTACGTGTCAATCAACCTTATAGTTGACCGTTTAATGTGCGATATGACAACTAGAAATTAATAAGTAAATAAAATTTAATTTTTAAAATTCTTCACCTCATTATCTAAAGAATATTATAAGCGTTTTCTCAAAAACAGCCTCCTCAATTCAAATTTCCCGTCACCTCATGTTTCCACATAATCAACCTTTTATCCAATCAAAATGCACCACATGTTAAAAAAATATTGAAAACGTTTGGAAAACCAATCCCTCTACGTAATCCTTAATCCCTTCTCCGAAAGCGAAATACAATCAAGAAGATCAAGGATGCGGCGGGGCTATGGCACACCTCACAGGACCAGATTTTTAATTGTTTCATCACTTATTTTTCTGGTTTATTTGCAGCTAGCCAGGCACCACAAAGTACCCCAGTCTTGGATGCGATTTCTCGTACCATTTCTGACGAGCAGAACGTGCAACTTCTCCGGCCTTTCAGCAAGGAGGAGGTTTTCTTTGCATTGCGGCAGATGGGATCGCGGAAGGCCCCTGGTGAGGATGGATTATCGGTTCTGTTCTACAAGAAGCATTGGGATGTAATTGGGGAGGAGGTATCGTTGGCGGTATTGGAGATCCTCGAAGGGGGTGCGATCCCACCTGGGCTCAATCACACCCTCATCGCTTTGATACCAAAAGTGAAGTCGCCAACGACCCCGCAGGAGTTCAGGCCTATCAGTTTATGCAACGTTCTTTATAAACTGGTGGCAAAGGTACTTGCGAATAGATTGAAAACGGTGTTGGACTTGATTATCACGGAGGAACAGAGCGCTTTTGTCCCAGGCAGATATATCACGGACAACATCATGGCAGCCTTTGAATGCTTCCACTCCATGAAGAAGAAGTCGAAAACGAGTGCAGGGGTTTTTGCCGCGAAGATTGACATGGCAAAAGCCTATGACAGAGTGGAGTGGCACTTTCTTGAGGCGATTATGATCCGTATGGGCTTTGATGAGAGATGGGTGGAGTTGATCATGAAGTGCGTTCGTACAGTGACGTATTCTGTGCTCGTGAATGGACACCAGTCAGAAGTGTTCTGTCCTGGCAGGGGTCTTCGCCAAGGAGATCCGCTATCCCCGTATCTTTTCCTTCTTTGTGCCGAGGGTCTCTCCGCCCTTACGAAGAAGGCTGTTCGCGAGAAACGTCTCCATGGATTACAGCCAGTACGGGGAGCTCCCACGATTTCACACCTTTTCTTCGCAGATGATTGTGTGTTTTTTGGGAGAGCTACAGTAGAGGAGAGCAAGGCGTTGAAAGAAATCCTGCTTGCATATGAAGCAGAGTCGGGACAGCTTGTTAGCTTCTCGAAATCGGCAGTGGCGTTCAGCGGATGGGTTAAGCCGCACCAGCGCCTCATGGTCAGTGGAACTCTAAAGATGCCCATTGTTGAGAAGCATGAAAAGTACTTAGGATTGCCGACGGTTGTGGGGCGATCGAAAAAGGAGATCTTTGCGGGTATTACAGACAGAATAAGGAAGAAGCTGAAATAATGGAAGGAAAAGACATTGTCAGTAGCAGGTCGGGAAACGATGATCAAGGCTGTTGCACAGGCACAGCTAACGTATGCTATGTCGGTTTTCAGAGTGCCAGCTCCCGTTATCAACGAGGTTCATAGCTTGATCACGAACTTCTATTGGGGGCAGAAGGGGTCTGAGAAACGGACTCATTGGTTAAGTCGGGAGGCAATGATGGTGTCGAAGGAAGAAGGTGGCATGGGTCTGAGAGATCTTGAAGGTTTCAACACAGCAATGTTGGCGAAGCAGCTATGGCGCCTCCACCAGAGACCGAATTCCCTTATCGGTCGCATCTTGAAGGCGAAATACTTCAAGAACACGTCAATACTGGATGCACACGTTGGCTATAGGCCGAGCTTTATCTGGCGGAGCCTTATGAGCGCACAAGAGTTCTTGAACTCGGGTCTGAGATGGCGCATCGGAAATGGAGCGGATGTACAGATTTGGGGCGACCGCTGGATACCTAACCACCACTCAGGCTTTGTTGATGCATCACCTCGAGGCCTACCAGTCGATGCAAAGGTAAGGGATCTCATTTCCCCAGTCACGGACCAGTGGGATTGGAGTGTGGTTAGTCGCTGCCTTCCTATTGAGGTAGGGCAGAAGGTGGTACAAATCCCGCTGCGTGGAGCTGAGGAGAAAGATGTTCTCATATGGGATGCAAGTGAGTCAGGAGCTTATACAGTAAGGGAGGGGTACAGGGTTTGGGTGAAGGACTACCTCCAGAAGAAGCAACAAAGCGGGGTGGGAGAGAAAACAGTGTGGAAGAAGCTGTGGACTTTGACAATCCCTCCTAAGGTAAAACATTTCATGTGGCGTTTTATGAGGGATATTCTGGCCACGGGTGATCATGTTAACACGAAGAGTAGTAAGGCGGGGGACAAATGTCCATTCTGTGATTTAAAAGAAACTCAAAAGCATCTCTTTGGAGAATGTGGCTGGACCGGGAGGATTTGGAGGCCTACGGTTTACGCCGACTACTTTGACTGCAGTATCTATGATGATTGTTACCAGTGGGTAGCAGGTGTGATGGGCAAAGGAGAAGACTCAAAGCTGGAGGCATGGTGTGTTGTGTTATGGTTTCTGTGGAAGGAACGGAATGCACAAATGTTCAATGGGCAGAAGCTAGCTGAGCAAGACATTATCCCTAGAGCTGAACTCCTACTCACAGAATATAAGGCCGAACAGGAGAGGCAGTCTGTTGCTCCTGGACAGTCACGTGATGAAGGCTGGAGCCCCCCGCCGCCGGGAAGAATAAAGATCAATACCGACGCAGCAAAGTGGGATGATGAAGCCATTGGCCTGGGGATGGTAGCCCGTGGTCCGACAGGTGAATTTATCATGGCGGCATCTAGAAGAGTTCCTGGGAGTTGGACGGTTGATGAAGCAGAGTTAATGGCAATCGAATTCGGGGTGCAGCTTGCCTACCAGCAGCGCTTGAATGATGTTCTTGTGGAAACAGATAGCGCCTTGGCAATTACCAAGCTGGCGGAGGCGGACAACATCCAGGCGGAAATTGGAGTGGTTTGCAGAAACGTTCGGAGGATGCTGGGAAGCATGTGAGAGACCAGCTGGCAACATGTTCGGCGAGGTGGCAACGCAGCTGCTCACATCATGGCACACCAGGAATCCAGGGATGATACCCGATCAGTCTGGCTTGACAGACCCCCTTTCTTTTTGATTGATCAATTGGTAATGGACAATGTAACCATACTTATTGATCAATAAAAAATTCGCAGGTTCCGATAAAAAAAAAATTCCTTAATCCCTTCTCCACTGTTTTCAGTGTTATTTTATTTATATTATTTAAATATTTAGTCAGCGCTTCCGGTTCTTTGGACTCTTTTCCGGGGTGGAGGGTAAATTCCCCTTTTGCGTTCTCTGGGAAATGGGAATCCTTCTTATATGGCCTTTAAAATTAATACAAATTAAAAGTTTAAATATGAGCATATAAATTTAAGTACATCTGCAATGTTATTATTGGTAACATATACCATACATCAAACGTTTCTTAATCATATGTGATCATAATGTTTATAATGATTGTAAATTTAATATATACGCTTTTAAATTTTAATGAATTGTTCACAGATTTCCATAAAAAAAAAAATCTTACAATCTACCGGTACATCTATTTCACAATCACAAAATTCCAATCGACTATTGGAAAAATATTGATAGATAGCGTACTGAAGAAGTGGAGTCGCGTGTCCTGAACTCGCTGAGATCCCTGGTTTAGGGTTTATCTGCCCGTCCTCATTCCCGCTTCTTCCCTCTTCCAATCTCGCCCCAGAGAAGTAGCTGCCGACCAGGTAACTGCTGCTAACATTCCAGCCGCTCTATTTCGAAGTCGAGGTTTCTCTTAGTGCTGGCTAATTTGGATTGCCCGTCTTCGAATTGGAAGGGTACGAAACCGTAGTCGGAGCTTCTGGTCTGTTTCATCCTGTTGGACGGCATGAAGCGGCACGAATTAACCGTCGGCTGAGCCATCGTTTCTGCTCCCGCTTTACCAACGCTCAGAGTTCCCACTGTCTGACTCGAAACTTTTCTGGTACTGCTTTTACTTCACGCCTTTGCCTCTTGATGGTTTTCGAGTGGATCAGACTGTCAAAGCTCTTCAGTTGTTTGGTTTTTCTCAAGTTGCGTTACTGATCGACCTTGTAGCTAAGAGACTACAATTCAAGTGAGAAGAATGCATAGCCGCATAGGTAAGTGGCATGAAGAACCATTCTTCTGATGTTATGAATGGTCACCTCACTGTCAAAACATTCCATGGCATTGATGATATGCCAAAGGAATCAGAAGGAAGATTGTGAATCATGCTTCTGTGTTGTGAGCTGGTGATGCAGTACATAAAATTGATTGAACTTGAGGAACCTTATTTCCAATATCTCATTTATCCTTTTTTCCCCCTTCTTCCATTAACCTTGTTAAATTGTTCTTTGTTTGTTTCCGCAGTTGCTGCATGACCATTTGCTAACGGATCTGAACGATTCCTCCCCAAGATACCAAGTATGTAACTTCTAATCTTCTACCATCGATTTTTCATTTTTTTTCATAAGCTATGGAAGGAGAAGTGTGAAGATGTTAATGCATCCCTAGTTCCTTCGTCCTACTAGCAATAGCAAATATTGTGAATCCTAATTTCTCAATGGAACATCCATGTCAATCGTTGGTCCACTTGGTTCAAGCTGTGAGCTAGGCAGAAATGGAACACTAGAGATGATCAAATACTATACAATGAGGATACTGTTAGCGTGTTCAGTTTCATGTCTAGCCCCTCTTTGCTGCTGTTTCCACTTTCTCAATCAACCTCCCCCCTCCCTGTTTATCAAGGTCCTATGATGGTAATCTAGATGAGATTATACCCAATATTGATCCGCTCACTCGGACTAGGCTTAGACAAATTGCTTATGTTGTAAAAAACGCTGTCAAATAGTTGTCAATCCCTAAACAAAGATGCTGACTTTCAGAATTGGGGATTTCCTACAACAATCCTTGTCCAACAAGGATTTGGTGGAGATGCTCAATTGCTGTCCATGTTGGTTTAGGAGTCTTTTATTAATTACATTTACTTTATTTGTTTTTTTGAAGTATGAGTGTTATTTGTTTCTTAGTAGTAGACTGATTAATTTTCAGTTTCCTAGGTGTAGAAGGAAGTTTTTTCTTTTTGGTTAGCCTCTCTATAAATACAAGGCTTGTAGTTCAGTTTTATGCATCAAGTATTTTGAATTAGAGTTTTCAAGAGTTGCAAGAAATATTATTTTTTTGTTATTGCTTTTTTGTAATTTTCAGATGGAATGGTCCGAGTGTAAAAACGAAATTAGAGATGCCTGTTTGGAGATCCAGCAGCTTCAGTCCGACGTGGCTCACGAATTTCAGCGACTCCAGCTGGATTTCACTGATACCCATTCGCTTCAAGAAGAAGAACTGCGCAAGCTAGATGAAATGAAGGCTAGAATTGAAAATTTGAAGTCAGCTAGTGGTGCTATTGTAGACTCGTTCATAGGAATTCGACCTGATGTCCAAACTGTAATTGACATTGATTCCGCCAATGGAGTCGAAAGCAGCTTTAAGAGTGTCTTGAGAGATGGATGAAAGGGTAACAGGGCTCAAATCCTCTGTTATAGGCTGATCTGATTACAAAGTTGTGTCTCGGATGACAGATTCTCTTAATATTTAAAATTCAGGAAGACAATCCAGTTCTTGCGGAAAGTCATTCGTTTAATCGTTTTCGTTATTTATGTTTGTTCATTAGTTATGTTTTGTGTAAAATTAGCTCCAATACTTATTTCTAGGCGGGAGATCTTGTAATCACTAATCAGCATTCGATATTTTGATTATTTCATTCGGGTAACTGTATGTACTAAAAAGTTCACGTTTGGTCACTGAAAATATTTAATTTCATTCGTGATCTATGGTTCAAGTTTGGTCACTCCCTGTTAGTATCCGTTAACTTTAATTTATGTGGCAGTCAACTCTTGTATTTTACCGTTAAATATGTGGTGTGATAGTAAAAAATAATATAAAAATAATTTTTTTATTTTCCACATCAGCACAAATATTAAAAATAAAAAATATACTTCTTTTAATTTTCCTCCACCACCAGTACAAATATACTTCTCTTTTTCAGCCACTGCTCGGAACAGAGGCCCGGCACGAAGTAGAGCGCCGTCCGGCCCGCCAGGTCCGCAGCCCAAACGCCTCGGGTGTCGCAGCCGTCAGATTCGAGGCCCGACACGAAGTGAAGCGCCGTCCGGCCCGCCAAGTCCACAACCCGTGGGATTCGAGGATGGATTGGAGGGCCGACGATGGTGGCGGATTCGTACTAGGCGACAATGTTCTTGGATTCGACAAGGATGATGGCGGCGGTCGAATTCGTACTCGGCGGCAACGTTCTTGGCGATCTAGTCGGAGAGGACCCAGGAGGGTCCGTGACCGTCTTTCCATTGGATTAAGTACCCCATCCCGACGCCGCCCTCGAGACCTCTGCTTCCGTCGACTTCGCCGTTGTCGTCCTCGCCTTGGATTGGTTGCTGGGTTCTCCCCACTTGTGAGTTTGAGCAAAGGTTGAGAGAAGACTAATTCAGCTCTTTGATAAGACTTGACCGTGACCGCCCAAAAACATTTAGTCGGGATTGTGTTCTTGTCATCTATGTTTCTCGGGGTTGCGCCCTATGACATCGAACTTTGTTTTTGGATTCTCCTACCCTAAAAAAGCTTACATTAAGGAACAGAACTCACAATGCCGTGCGGTGCGGTGAGATGCAGCACAATTATTCTAAGCTTCCACTGAACTCATATCCAAGATGAGGTTTGGCATCAGCCGACAATTCCTTTGTACCATGTTATGATTATGAGTAAGCTTACTCCTATCCAAGTCTCGAGAGGATTTCAACGGCTCTGCACAACATACTTCAGTTTAATCTCCCTGAACCTTAACCTTTATACATCTTCCCTGCATCAAGCCTCATGCAATAAACCAAATTGATACGAAATTGACACGAGAAATAAAATGTATGTCATAAATTAACAGTTTGAGAAGAAAGTTGTTGAGTTACAAATTTGTATCATACTATATTTTCAAGTGACTACGTAAACGCCAACCATGACAAAAGTTGAGATTAGATAGCTACAAATTGTAGAAACCGTTCATCAAAGCAAAATGAGAGATGAGCATTAGACAGTAAGTTTTGTTCAGCGGCCATCCTGAAGTGAAACCAATCAAGTCAAGGATGATGAGGATTGAAGTGCCCCCGCTTAAAGCAACTTTCGTCCGGATGATAGATCGGCACGAAACAGGTGGGATCACATCGTCGACAACCCTTCGTCAGACTAGAATAGTCACCTGCACGCACCAAAATACAATTGGATTTGTTTAGAATCAATAGATGACAATTAACAAGTCACGAATTAGCTTTGCATAAACAAATTACTAGTTCGTCAAAATGAGACAGGTTTAAGAAATTACTGCACTCACCATTGTCGCTAGGAGTAAGGATACAATACGATAATACTTCAACCGGATCCCCTGGTTTAAGCTCAACTGTAGTCTCCCCAAACAAACGATGGACATTTCCAGCCTTATCTTTGGCTGTGAAGTTGAGATGGATGATCCAAGTGCCCCGGGAGTTAAATGGATAGGTGACTAATGCTTCAGCGATCACGAATTCAGCACCCTGAACAGGTAATAGGATGAGGGGGTTTTGTTCGTAAATAATACTATGACATTAACTTCACTTAGCTTGAGAGCTAGCATTTGGAACCATGACAAACCTAATTAAGAATATCTATCCAACAAAACAACCAGAATAGAACCCATTTACAGCAGTCAGAACAAACCTTAACAATAGTTTACAGGCCGTATAAGATATTTGCAACATCCAGAACAATCCACCATTTGTGAACAAAACTGCCCACATACTGCACAACGACGAAACAGGTAAAGCCTACTGAAAACCCAAACAGCAAAAAACTACTATGTCGAGGGCACTACGACACAAACCACGAATTGCATCATCAACAACCCCACACAGAGGACACAAACCATTAACTTCCTGATCTTATAAAGAGTGTTTATTCTATTTAAGGCAATCAACCATATCATGACCGAGTTCTTTGGCAAACCAAGTTTGAACTTTAAACCAAAACATACCTAAACTAAGAATCTCACTCCATGAATAATACCACAAAACAAAGCGACCAAAAAAGATAGAGATTCACAGAGAAGTACTAACCGGATTCTCACAATTGTATTTCTCCAGAACTTTCTCCGAGTAGAACAGGTTCTGTTGTGCCAAAGTTCTCGGTGGGATCCTATCAACCAGTCCCCCGTCAGTCGAAACACAAGTGCATAAGCATCTATATATGGGTTTATACTAATGAAATTCAGACATATAAAAATCATCACGAGAGACCCTTACTCTTCTTCTTCATCATCCGAGGACTCGGGAGCCGGTGGATCTACAATAGTTTGAGCAATCTTCAGAATGGCCTTCTGGTATGTCTTGAAATCGCGCATCTGTTGCATGGTCTCGCCAAGTTTGGCAGCTATCTCCACCTCGGCCGACTTTTGGAACTTCGTCGTCGATGATGCCACATTGTCAAGCTGCATTTTCATTGCCCGCATGATTACAAGCTGTTGCTGGAATTGCTCCCTGACCAAGCGCAAGTCCTCGCTTTCCTCCACGAAACGCCGTCTTAGTTTCCTGTTTTCCAATTTGAGCTTCTTGATCGTCTTCTCGTCTTCCCTCACTTCATCCACGGATAAATTGTTGCCTGATCTTCTGCGGGAGCCCCGACGCCGACGGTAAATGAAACTAGAGCGTGGGGATCGCTCGGAGCGCGATGAGGTAGCAGCAGTATCCATGTAGCCGGAGCGGGACAACGATAAGACAGTTTAGGGCTTCGATTTGATGGATTGGGAATTGCGGGTTTTCTGGAATTGAGGAATTGAGGATTGGAACGAATAGCGGAGCGTTTTCTTAACTGTTTCCACTACTCTAATGTGGACTGGGCTCTGTTCTATATAATGTTTTGCTCTTTGGTGACTTCCTCTCCGTATACGATCAGGATTGATCACGACTCGGCCCATTGATTACAAATCGGTAATTCTGTTTCATTACGAAATAAATGCTGGTTTACTTTTATTTTCGTTTTTTTTTTACTGTGGTCGACTGGTCGTGGCAATATAAAATAGATTTTGAAGGGAACGAAGTTATCGTTCCGTAGAAGTGCCCCGTGGGTTGCCAGAAAGCCAGCTTCATGCCCTTAGAGAGTGTAGCTCGATCTGTCGCCGCTGGGAAGAATGGGATGGAAAGAACCTGTTGGAAATTGGGGAAGGAAAATCAATTTTCCACCTAAACAATAAATAAGTATGTGGGATAATGAGGTGGAAAATAATTTTTTTATTTTTTTATTTCCACGTCATCAAGTTAACGGTCAAACTTAATAGTTGACTGCCACGTAGGACAAATTTAACGGAGTGTAACGGTCGGTGACTCACAGTGAAACGATTCGTAAAATTAGTGACGACTAAGAAACAAAAGTAATTCGGATGACAAACATGAAAGATTTGTATAATTTGAGTGACCAAACGTGTAATTTAGCCCATTATCACTAGATATTTCAGGAGCTTCGTTTAGCATTTTAGCTACCTTAACCTACTTTAGATTTCTCTTCCCTTCATTTTTACTCACACCTTCAACCTCTTTCAAAGGCGGTTCTAACTCTAAGGCCATCTGTTAGGGGAACAATAGCGATGCATCCTAACGAATAACGATAATATATCGTCCATTGTCTCCCTCCCCACACACTATCTAGTTTTTTTTTCGTTTTTTTATATAAAATTATAAATGACGAGACTCAATTTTATTACCAAATCATATATCCTAACTATCATAGTATGAGTTTGTTTGGTACTTAATTTTATGTTCATGTTATTTCCAATGTATGATATAGAGTTGTCCACAATCTCATCCAATTGGAAGGCAATTTGAAATTTAAATTAAAATAGAAACTTAATTTTAATCGAATCTAAAAGTATTCTTTTGTTTGATTCGAATCAATCACATTGATCATTCTTTAAAATAATTTACAAATCTAATCCAAATTATATTTGAATCGATCTATTTGATTTTTCGTCCAAACCGTTATTGAGTACCGTTTCTGGGGCGCATTCGCCGTCGCGCAGCTGACTCTGAACAGTCTCCGGGAGCATTTGGAAGCAGGGTTAACCCGAAACGTTGTGCTCACTGGTTTGCAACTGATTTGCAAAGAAGCCGGCATTCCCCTGTCAGCGAAAAAGATAAAAAGAGATCAGGATTCTTTTAAGATTGAAAGAGTTGTATCGCCATCGCATCGACTCAGCCCAGTAGTAAGTTTCGCTTGAAAATAACAAAAAGATTATTACTTTAATTTCAACTTGGCTTAGATTGTCTTTCAGAGAGCAGCAAGGGCTGATTTCGAGCTGAGTTTTTATGAGCGGCAGAGAAATAAGAAGTGTAAGAAAGACTCTGTCGGCGGCAGCGAGAGAGAAACTAGGCTTTCTAATTGGTTTTGTGCGTGGAACCTGTTAGTGTTGTGGTATATGATCCACGATTGAACTGCTCCCAACAACTCGAGTTATTGGGAACAACTGATTCTTGACATGGTATCAGAGCCTTCTGTGACCGTGAGGTCTTCTGTTCAAATCCCGGTAACCCCATTTGTTAAGCACATGGTATTCTTGTCTTCAGACCTGTGCAAACTTAAAGCCTTTGTGAGTGGCTTTCGTTTGAAGGGGCGTGTTAGTGTTGTGGTATATGATCCACGATTGAACCTCTCCCAACCTCCACATCTTTCTAACCTTCTTCTATCTCGACTCTTCGTCAATGGCTTCCTCTCATTGTTGTCGTACTCTTTCCCTCCCGTGTTTTAATCTTCGTCGATGGCCAAATTCAATTCGTTCGATAAATGGTCATGGTACGATATTTTCAAGTAACTACATACAGGTCAACTAGGACGAATGGAGATTAGATAACTACAGATCATAGAAAGCATTAAACAAAGCAAATGGCTGACGTCCTTTCCGTACGGGGTTAAGCTTGATGACGAATTGGTAACATTTTTTTTTTACAAGTATTTTCGGTACCAATGTCTCATACATGTGGCGACATTGAACATTCCTCTCGATTCTCCAGCCCTTCTTTGCATCTCGTTCTTCTCTCCGCCACCGCCCCTCCGCTCTCCTCTGCCTCTTGCCGATTTCACTAGCGCGCCCCCACCGTCGCCTTCCGCCTTATTCGACGTCGGCAGGACCAGCGTGGTGGCAGTCTAGGCATCCAAATACCCAACTCTGGCCCCGCACATTCCTCATCATCCTTCATCGCTGCAATGCCGTCGTCAAGATCCCGGTGAGACCCGTCGCTCCCCCATTCTTGAGCATATTAAGGAAGGAACAAATTGATTTCCAGCTTCCTGTATGTTTTAATCTCAAGACGGGAATTTGTTTCTCTTCTTGTCATGGTTTCGTACAGTTTTCATATTCGCAAACGTTTCAAGGTTAGAAAGACCACGAAAAGTGCGGTTCCGAAGGATAAGAAGTTCACTGAAGGCGCGGTCTCGGAGATGCAACAACTTCAGTCGGACTTGATTCGTGGACTGTGTCGACTTCAGCTTAAACTTGATGAGAATCGTCCACTCCAAGAAGCAATGAGGAGGGTGATGGATGATGGAATGATCCCTTGTCTGAGAGAGCTGAAGTCCATAAATGAAGCTGCTCTGGAGGTGTTGCCATTAGTTAGAGATGCAAATCGCGGGACCGTACTGGTTCCTGCAATACACAAGTAGGAAACATATGGTCACGTCCATGTCCAATAAAAAAACAAACATATTAGAGAGTTGGATGATTCAAACCACAAAAAAAAAAATTAAAAAAAACACATTCAATTCAAATAAATCGACTTACTTAAACCCCAGTTTCATAAAAGATTGCAAGGAATTGAAGTTTTGGTCACGTCAATGTCCAATAAAAAACAGACATATTAGAGAGTTGGATGATTCAAACCACAAAAAAATTAAAAAAACACATTCAATTCAAATAAATCAACTTACTCAAACCCCAGTTTCATAAAAGATTGCAAGGAATTGAAGTTTTGGTCACGTCAATGTCCAATAAAAAACAGACATATTAGAGAGTTGGATGATTCAAACAACAACAAAAATTTAAAAAATACATTCAATCCAAATAAATCAACTAACTCAAACCCCCTGTTCCATAAAAGAATGCAAGGAATCGAAGCTTTGGTACCTTATATCATGGTAAGGTAAAATCCATGCAACTTGTCCACAGCTCTGAATCTTGATATACCATAATCAGCTCCAAAGTTATCTTGTATCAGCCAACTAAGTAGACCAACATCATTTTGATGAAAGCCAACAACGCTCAACATATGAGCTTCATACGTCTCACCATCGCACATCTATGAGGGCAGCAATGACAAAGATAACAACTCTTGTCCAATTACTGGACCGTTTTCCATTATTTCCCACTTAATTTTTTTCACATTGCTCTTACAATTTCAATAAAATCATGACTGTGAATATAGAAACGCAAGTATGGCTCAGACTATAGCCAAGAAAACACATTGTTAGATGAAAGAAAACCTAGTTGGCTGTATAAAACAAACAACACCCCATAATACAGGTTAAACATTTCACCATTGCGCTTTCCGGCCTTTTCTTTTCAACATAGCACTCATTCAAATTCATCCCTTACAAAACATTGGACTTATTTTGACATACTGATTCAGATAGTTTTTATCAAGACAAGTGGTCGAAAAAGTAATGTACCAGATGCCATCATTTTTCTTTGTGGCATAATTCATAATCTCTACTTCCGACCAGACCCTCTCAGCCTCGGCACGCTAGGTCCAACATTTTTTCAATAGATACGAGAGATAGTAATATTGCCCCCTCGGTGGCGTGGTCCACCAAGTGGTAGATGGAGAGTTTGAGAATGTTTGCCACATTTTTGTTGCGCCTCCCAGCCAAACTCATTCTTGCCTCAATAGTGAAAATTGTGGCATAGAAAGCACAGTAGTTTGTTTACAGATAAGTAAACCATATAACCAACCGTAGAAATAATTAAAAATAAAAAAGACTAGCTTGCAAACCTCAATTGGTGTTAACATACTAGATTTATTTTGGTCTCATGCAGCACCAAGAACCAGACGGTTGTCTACTGTGGCTTTGTACTGTTGCAAGTTGAGTCAAATTTATCATCAACGGTACTGCCAAAGATAAGCTATTTTATCATTTGTGATGTGTGAGCTTGGATGTTGTCTCTCTCATGAGAAATTTATGAAAAAGAAAGAAAAGAGGGAAGATAAAGGAAGTAGTTAGAGGGAAAATTGAATTTGTTACTACTAAGCTATCATCGTTAACCATCTTCCTTTTTTGCAGATGAAAGACGACTCACTAATCCCCCCCAACCAACAATGTGATGCATTTTCGAAACATTAACATGAAGATGATCTCATTGTGTTTTCAACAATCACCAAAAGTAGATGTTTTATGAACTTATAATTCTCCCCATAAGAACAATGGGGAAAGTTGTGTTTAGCAAATTTAGAAAAGGAAAAATAAAGTAAAAAAGCAATGTGATGAATGCCAAAATAATATATTAGATAAGTAGAAGATGGATGACAAGAAGAAACTGAATAATATGTGAGATATAATATTTTTTGAAAACTCAATATACACACTCATACTCTATTATTTCTCTCACCCACAGCTTACCACATCCACTTACTTCCTCTCTACATTACCATCCAACTCTCTATATTACTTACCTTTCTTTTAGTTCTCTCTTCACTCCACACCTTTTACTTTCATCACTCCTCTCTTCATAAACTACAAACACAAATTAAGCACCCTATTTCGTATCTTTCATAACTAACAT